TCACCCCCGCTGACCCCACTGGTAACCCCACTTATTTCCCCGATGTTTGGTTAATTTCGCTGCGGGAATTTTAAATCATCTTTAAATTAGGGTCATGCAAACTCAATAAACCAAAGGCGAACTGCGATGCTCGGTGCTGGATACTGGATGCTGGGTGGTGTTCAGCATTCACTTCTGCACTAATTGAGTTGCAGATACATTCGCACATTTGCCACAATTTGGCAAACAAATCACGTAGCAACTGACGCTGCTCATCCCACTGCCCGGTATCCAAAAAGGGCACCCAAGGCCATTACATCCAACTACATACATGGTATATTGCATTCCCCGATTTCGCTGGGGGGTTACCTATACTTTTTCCATCCTGGCTCTCTGTCTCTGGGTCTCCGGGTCTTTCGAACGGGGAACAGATGGCCCCGACGAATGTGGGGCGGTATTTCAATATTGCTGAGCACACAGACCAGTATTTAATTGATTCGCTGTGAATTCCTTGGAGCCATCGGTCAAGGTATTAGTTTTAATCGAAGAACATGCATGTTTTGGGGAGCATTAAGGAAAGCATTTTCGCTTTTACCAGTGCTCCCATTAAAAAAAGGGTACAGCTGTGGAATAAAACGGAAAATAAGAACAAATAATGCTTTAAACTGAGTTTTTCTGGCTTTATTTTACAAAAAGGAAATAGTTCTGTCCTAAAAATGAACAATAAATGTCTTAAGCAGAGTTTTTCTGGCTTTATCTTACAAAAAAGTAATAGATCTGTCCTAAAAAAAAGGTAGATAAGGAAGCCTGGACATTTTTTCCACTGATTTTATATCATCTATAATTTTAAGGGCAATGGGATATATGCATATATACGCTCTCATTCCCTGGCCGATTCCCATTTCGATTCAAACACTCTGGGTATGGGTTAAAATTTACATTTATTTAATTTGCCCTGGCCCCGAGAAATGCAAATGACGCCGTTGCAATGCAAAATGTTTAAATGCATTCGCCCCCTCTCTTTCTCACACCTTAGCGCCGTCTCTTTCGCCACGAATAAGGCCGTCTTTGTCTGCATTAATGCATATGCATGAGACTTAAGCGTGGCCACGCCTCAAAGTTGGTAGTTGCGAGCAACTACCCGGTACCAAAATTATCGACACTTAAAATGTTGCAAGCGTCGCTTGTTTAACCTTTCCCCCCCCCCCTCCTTTTTTTTTGCACCCCACTAATGCCATCTTAACCCCCTTTCCTGGGCACTTCCTTTTGGGGTCTCTACATCTTCGTCTTCATCGCTGCCGAGTGCCGTTGTCCTGCCAAAGGATTCCCGTCGACGTTTATGTAATCTTAATGTTTATGCAGCTTATGCTTCATAAATTCGCCGCGCCCCGAAAATCCCCATTACACCCCCCCGATGGCCCCACCCATCGAAATACCCATGTCCCCCCTTCCACAGCCGCCACTGGAAATGCGCTGCTTTTGGCGCCACGACGTCGTCTTCCGGTGGCATTTTGCGCCATCGCAGCTGGATCTTCATTTTATACCCTTGCTCGGTGATTTACCCACGCATCTGGTAAAACTTTTCACATCCATACCAAGTTTATCACCTTAAATATATATTATATCAGTGAAAAACTGAAAAAATCCCTCCTAACATTAAAAATACCTTTAAATAATATTAAAAATTAATTAAAGATGGCTTATATGATACCATATCATTCCTAAGTGCTTCGGTAGTATATTATTTTGACACATATGAGCCCAAATACCTATCTATACCATTAATTTTTATATAGGGTAACTGCCACTTCGATTCCCTTTTCGTTGGCAATTCATTTCGTGTGTTTTTGCCAGCTCTTCTTACTTTTTGCTTCCGTTTTTGCACATCCGTTGCCGTTTGTGCCATTTGTTTATTGCCAGTTTCATTGCTTCATTGCGAGCGCTGGCGAGCTATACTATGCTTATCTGCCCCCCATACCATGCCCCATACCATACCAACCTGCCACCTCCTCGTTTTCGTAGCTCCTTGCAGCTTCATCTTCATCTTCATCCGCCGCTCCACATCGCTCCTGCTTTATTTTGGCTGATGGAAATATTTTTACGACAAGTTTTTCGCGAAGATTTGCAACATTTGCAGAAAAAGGAAAACGGAAGTGGCTGTAGCACTGGAAGTTGCGCGAATCAGCGCAAAAACAAAAAGAACGTATATATATATACACGTATAAAAGCCAGGGAAACGCACATTCTGGCCATAAAACGCTTAACGTTGATGTGTTCGCTTTGATCAACCTCTGACCCCCAGCTGACCCCTCGTTTAGCGCCGGATGTTGTCAAGTTTTATGTTAACATCGGTGGGCAGAAATGGAATGACATTGCGCACACCCCGCACTTTTCTCGTTCATGATTTTTGCATGCGGCAGCAGAATGCAAAATTATAATTAGGCAGCTGCGTGATGGGAGCGAAACAAGAGATATCGCACAGCCCCCTTTCTCCACTTTCTTCTCCTTTTATTTTCAGCCCGATTGCACAGTCAACGCACGTTCGAGCATAAAGTACATTTTATTAGCCCGCCTCTTGCATCGACCACGTTGGTTCAGTGTGGCTGCACCACTTCCGACAGCAACCATTTCGAGCAGCCGTTAAGATGACACGTAATTGGTGTGACCAGGTCGCAGGAAGTTGGGTGTTCTAAATGACTTGTTAGTGGCTAATGTGATTAGAAAACAGCCAGCTAGGAAGATCACTTCATTTTGTGAAATTTTACTAATTAAATACAAATGAAATAAACGTATTGCATTTTTGTTAAATTAGTGTGACCAGGGCTAGCAAAAAAGATTGGATTACTATGAATATACAAAAATAAATTGAAACAAACTTATAAAGTAAAGAATATCTGGAGTTTATTGTAATACCACTAATTAAGCACTACGAATTCAGTGAATCATTTTAGTTTTAGTTAAATTAATGTGACCAGGGCTAATAAAAAATGAAGTTTATGTGCTGAGAGACAAAAAAAAACAAGAAACTATGTTAAAAAAAATTTTAAATCAAGAACCACCAAGTTACTTACTTATAGCACGTTTTCATTTCCTAAGTGCACTCTAAAACAGGCAATCAGCATAAAGTTCGTTGACCTGTTGCAAAACGCAAACCTCCGAAATTCCCTTTGAAAATACCAAAAATTCCGGTCACACTTTGCCTGATTAGGAAAAAGTGCTACGCCTCTCCTTTCATATGATTTGATTCGTTATTTCTCTTCCATATTTTTTGTTTGCCCCTTCCCCTCGCCTGACAACGCTGCGTATGCGTAATAATTTTTTAGTTGCGCCACACCCGACACGAAACCCGTGGGCAATGCAAATAAATATTCAATTGCAAATGGCTGACAGGACGGACAGCCCACACCCCTTTTCCCGCCTTTTTGACGTGTGTGTGTGTGTGTGTGTGTTAAGAGGAGAAAGTGGAAAGGGCAGGGGGTGAAAGTGAGGCGAGTACACGCGAAGCGGACGCGCTCAAATTGCAAATTGCGCTCGTTTACAAGTGAAATAAATGCGCGAGCGCCTGCCATTTGGCAAAAGTCAGATCCTGACCCACCGCATTTTTCCCCGGGCTTTTCCAGAACGCTTTTCCACCCACTCGCCCACTCGATGGGGCATTAGAAAAATGAAGCGTCGTGCCGCAGAAGACAAGTTGGTCGCCGTCGCTCGACTTGGTTGGCATTTTTGTGTTGCGTGCTTTTGGGCGCGTAATTAGATAAGCAGCCTGGTCGACTGGCGGCCATATAGGTCCTGGCTTTTCCGCTTTTCCAGCACCCCCTCCCCCCCATCCTTCCAAAGTCTCCTGGCGCGGTGTCACCAACCAAACAACCAACCAACCAACAAGCCGCTGACAGATGGAGCGTCATAAAAGCGGCGGCAACAATGCGCCGCAGAATGTCTGAGGTTAGGAAAGGCGGAAAAGTGGAAAAGCGGAAGAGCGGAAAAGCGGAAATGGCAAAGACGAAACAACGCCGAGAAAACAAGGAGTGGCGCGCGCGGTGGCGGGGATTTGAATTTGTCACGTGGCCGGCAAACGCACCTGGGCACAAAGGGGCGGACAAGGACACAACATGCAATTATACGCAATCAACATAAATCATTCAAATTGCCGCACACACACACACACACACACACAGACACAGAAAAAAGAAAATGGCAAGGAAAACCCGAGGCGCACTTCAAAAGGGGGCGGCGGGGGGCGTGGCTGCCCGTTGACGTTGGCTTTTGGCTAATTTGCAATTGAAATGCCCAAATTCTGTGGGCTGGCCGCATTACGCATACGCCGTGTGGTTGCTGCGTGGCAAAGGCTCCTTAAACTTCCGCTCAGCCCATCCATCTTGGTCCCCCCCCCCCCCTTGCTTGGCTGACAAATGCCATGGGGGCACGTGAGGCGGTCAGTGGCCCAGGTAAATGAATCCTGGGATTGCCAGAGCTCTGGAGATTTTATTTTTTGTAATATTGCAGGACTTCCTTGGAGAATTTTGCTATTTAAATGCGAGACGAGAAATGGTATGAGTTCATGAAGAGAAATATTTAAATTCACTTGATTTTTTAAGATTTAATTACTATTTACCTGAATAATGTACAATTGATATTTGAAATTTTCATTTTCTTTCTTTTTAATAATACTATAAAATCAAAAAGGAGAAATATATCTTTGAAATTCGTTTTATACAGTTTTTAAGCCCATCACTTTTTAAATTGTACGGAATTCCTTGATTTGATGATTTTATTGATTTTAAAACAACTACGTTGATAAGATCTTTTTGAATATTCAACTAAAACACTGAAATCTCTAAAATATTAAAGGACAAATTTAGCTGGAACTTAGAAAAAATGTAGCAAATAAATGCATCAGAATTTCAGCAATTTGATTTTAATTTTGGCAATCAAATATTGTTTACTGGTCTATAAAAATCCCAATATCCCAACATTGTAAACTCAAGCTAAGTTTTGACAATTATTATTAGAGATTTTTATCAATTAGTGCATTCTTTTCATACTTTTCTGATGAGCATAAGTTACGAATTATCCTCGAGTCGGGCCAAAATTATACGTCCTTCAGTCAAAAAAGATTAACCAGTTTCTTTCATCAAACCGAACATTAATACATCTCTCGGATATGTCACCTCGGCTGGTATTCTAAACTCTCTGAAGTAATTGCTGTATTTCGGGAAAATTGCAAAACGCCACAACTAGAAATTTGGTTTCTGTTGTATAGCTAGAGAACAAGCACGAAAAAAAGTCGACGGTATGCAGAAGTTTCTGCAAAACTAACCGAATACCGATTTTCTTGATTTTGGTTACCAACATTGCCAAAGTTCAAGTGCCGCCTGCCATTGTTCTGCCAAAACCGAACAAGCAAAAAGCAGTGCCCATCGTTCAGATGAGGAACCTCCGAACTGGCCTCGAGGATTCCCGAATATCCGGTATCATCACTCGAACAGAACTTCCATCGGCACACCGTAAATCTCCGCGAGCTGCAGTTTTGTGTAGGCAACCACGCCGGTGGGGCAGTATGCCATCGCCTCCTCCAGGGTGATCCACTTGGCGTTCGAATCGCCCGCACATACCACATGCAGATGGACGATCCCCTCGAAAACCGCGTGACTGAAGATGCCCATTAGGTTGCTGGTGGCGGCGCCGCCACTTCCGTTTCCGGTGCTGTTGCCGCTTCCGCTGCCGTTTCCGCTACCGTTTCCGCCTCCGGTTCCGTTTCCGCCAATGATGCTACCGCTTTGGCTGCTCACACTGCCGCCGCCACCACTGCCGCCGCCCACGCTGCTGCCGCTGGCATTGGCGCTCGACGAGGTGGCCGGATTCAGATTGATGACCATTCTGGGATCAGTAGTTCAAAAAATATTAAAACATTTCAAAACATAACAAAAAATATTCAAAGAAAATAAAGAACAACTTCATTATGTGTATCACTAGACTGCACAATTGGATCTTATTAAAAAGTTGTACTAAAAAAGATTTTAAAAATTTAATACAATATCCAAAAAAATAATGATCTATAATGTATAGTATTATTTTATATATATATAGCATTTATTTTTAAAAAAGCTTTACCCACAGAAACATTGAGAACAGAAAAAAGCCAAGATCAAATATTCTCAGTTTAAAAATGGGTCTTCTCACTTTTTTGAGAAGAAACGTTCTTGAAATCAAGACGAAAGTGCTCTCAAGTTTGTTTTTCAAAATAAAGAAATTTTGAATTTGAATTTTTTTTTAAATAACTTAATTCAATTGATATATTTTATAAAAAAGAACTTAATTCAATTAATAAATGTTATTATAAACAAAACTATGATATGATATGATATATAATATCGAATATTCTACCTAACAAAAGTGTTATTTTTTTAATCTCTAGGGGATAATAAGGGATATTGCCTATGAAGAGGACTCAGCTGACTTACCTGAATATAAAACTATCAAAAGTGGAAAAGAAATCGGACTGGAAGCAGTGGGCGATGTGGCTTCAACCTGGGGCACTTAGCTGCACGATTTTTGGGCCCAATTGGCCCTTGACTGTGATCGGGGGTCCACTCTCGGTCCTTTCGGGTGCCTTGAACTTTGAGCCTATCAATTTTGTACTCTTCCTGTGCGATCCAAGGGATTCTGGTGCAGTGGTGTGCTGACAACGGATCTGTTCTACGCGTCTGGGCGTCCAAGTCGCAAGTGATTCTAGTGCAACTCTTCAATTAGCTAGTTTCAAGTACCAGTTTGGATTTCTTTTCGCCGTTTGATTATTTTTTTTCGATTTTCGTCTATATTTTTTTTTATTCAAACGGTGTGTGTGTGTATGAATGTGTCGGATGTGTGTGTTGACTACCTAGACGATTTTACTAAGTCTAATATACCCTGTCAAATATTTGGCATACTTCTCCCGGCCGGCTAAGAACTATTTAAAAAAATATATATATTGAAAAATGGGTTTACGGTTGAAAAAATAGATTGCAAAATGAAATGTCACGTATTCTACTTTAAAAATGTATTTAAAATTCTATTCAAAACTTGTAGACCTTTTTTTGCTGAATAAATGAAAATGAAAAATTTTAAATCACATTTTTACTGAAAAAACTTTAAATATTTAAAGTGATTATTGGGACGAAAAGGTAAAGCATAATGCAAAAAAAACTTCTCTGGGCATTATAATGTTTTGCCCATAAGGCCCTAATACCTTTCATACTTTTTGACGTCGCTTGGCAACCCTGGCGCTCCCGAATGTGCCATATTATGCTTTTCTCCTGCCAGCAGCAAATGAACTGAACAAATAAAACTTTCACGGCAAAGTTGTTGACATGGCAGCCTTCTCTGCCATCTGATTTCCACCTGCAATGCCTCACCTATGTGTCCGCGCTTAGCTCTTTATTTACGACTGGAAAATGCAGCCCCGGGAAATGCGGGGAAAGTGCGGAGGAAAAGCACCAGAGCTGAGCTTAAGTCGCGGCAACAGCGGCCCCCAAAGCAATTAAATCGCATTCGCTGTGTGGGAAGCAAATAGGATTTCGGGTGCGGGTTTTGAAGGAGGGGCCCCGGACAGAGACAAACAATCAAACGGAAATTAATTGCGGGATGTGTGAAAAGTGAAAGCCAAAAGCTGCTCGGTAAATGATTGTCGAGCAGCGAGCAAAGAGTTTTCCCCCTTTCGAGGTGGCGTCTTTAACCCATCCCCTATACCCGATTAAACCCTGATTGATAGCTGGTCCCAGGCTAGAGCATTGACTTTTGCTCTCCAGAAGCGGAATAAAACCGAGAAAGTCAGCTCGTCCTTGCTTGCCAGTTTGGGGTCACCTTTCTCTAACTTATCGGAGACTAAGACAGAGTTTCTCAAATTAAATGCAAAATTTTATTAAAGATAACTTGAAAATTAAAGCACAAACTTAAATAGGTAGACCACTTTGAAATCGGAATCGTATTAGTCAAGCAATGAACTATGGAAGTACTATTCTGGGTCACCTTTCTGATATTTATCGAAAACTTTGACATAGCTAAGATTAAAATGGGTAAATAAAAGCAATTAAATTTAAAATATTAAAGCAGTATATAAGATAGTTTATCCGCGTTGAAATCATTACCCAAATAATCAAGCCTTGGATAACAGAAATTTAGTTATGGGTCACCTATTTACAGATAATTCAGAAATGACGGCTAAAAATGTTCTTTACCAACACTAAAATTAAAGGGAGGCAAGCCATTTTGAAAACTGTGTTGTAAAAGTGGTTATAATATATTAAACTGAAGAAAACACTATACACTAAACACAAACTTCCCAAAATCTTTTGGATTATGTTTTTGGCTGTTTTCGCTTTCCCAATATCTTCTCTTTTTATTGTTTGCAATTCTGTCAACTCATTGAACTTATGTTAAACACAAAAATGTTCCACTTTCATGTCATGGCATTACCACACCCATTGAGCCATCGGTCGGAGCTTAATTAATACATCGTTACGTGCAGTTTCGGCCAACAATGGGTGGTCTTAGCCTTTTTTGGGCCCGTAGCCGCCCATTGTCAGCCGTAGCCGTAGCTGTGGCCATATCCGGATCCGGCTCATAATGAGCCGTCTCATTGGAGCGGCAAGTGAGTTGTATCTTCACGAAAGATTTGACAGTTGCACATGACTCCAGGGGGGGCTGAAAAGTGGGGGTAGTGCCTCCATTGCCTCGGTTACACGCCTCGGTTGATTCCAGCATCCGCTGCACTGCTCTGCTCCAGCCAAGCGTTTCATATTGCCACCTGCCACTCACACCTGCCGCCCAGCTGCCACCCAATGGCCACCCACCACCCACTCAGCGCCCACTTGCAGTCGCACTCACTTCATAATGCTGTCAAGGTTGAGCGATGCTGAAATATTGAAGCCTGCCCTTTAAATATTCACGAGTTCGTGGCTTGCTGGGCGGACTTGGTGTTGGCTTTCGCCCGAAGCAGGTGATGCCGCAGTGAAAACCGTCAAAATGCTGAATATTTACTTGTCTACTTAGTTGAATTCATCCTTGGCTTCAAATCTTTTCAGAAGTATTTACATTTGATTGCTAGCAATGGCACAGTTATGGGAATAACTTTGAGGACTATAGGATTCATTCCTAGGTAAAGGTAAGTGTTGAAAAGGTTGCATTAATGCAAGCATCCAGTGTTGGGTAACAGTGCCACCAAATTGATTATTACAAGACTATATACAGATTTTCAGACTTGGTGTTCGAGTTCCAAAGAAATAACTTTACAAACTGTTCAATTACTATGCGTAGATTAGTGTTGAATTTGTAAGTTATATTAGGGAAGCATCTAGTCTTGAATAAGTGTTAGTAACAGAACAGTGAGACCATATTCATTATTACAAACCTTCTACAAGTATATATGACTCGGTGTTCAAAGTGCAGAAGTAAGGAAAGGAAAGTAAACCACAGAAATATCTTTAAGAACTGTTCAATTATAAGGTGTAAAATAGTGTTGAATAAGTGGTATTTTTGTAACCATGTAGTGTTGTGTAGGTGTATGTGACAGAACAGTGTGCCCATATTTATAATTACAAGCCTTAAACACATTTGCAGACACAGTGTTTAAAGTATTTAACAAAGGAACACAACAGTGGTTAGTTTTCCATATTACAAAGATAGACGTACAATTGCCGGACTTTGGCTTTGTGATTGACTTGTGGACGCATCCTGCCAGGGGTCAAGCCACAAACACACACACAAGTTCAACGACTGACGCAAGTATGTATTTACCTTTCTGCCTTTTGTCCTGGCCAACTTACTGGCGCAGACCAGCATCGAAAATCCAAAAACAATTCGAGTCCCGGATCCAGGGTTGCCAACATAAACAATTTATGCACAACAAACTGGACTCTCTTGAATGGAAAAGGCGGTGTGTGTGGGGGGGGGCGGGTTCTAAAAATAAGAAAAGACGTGGAAAAAGGATGAAAAATAGAAAGGGGAAGTCCCGGCTTGCAGCTAGCTAACTTTTAGCTTGGCTTGTTAGTTAAGCGTAAACAAGGGGCGGTAAAGTGGGTGTGGGCGTGGCGCGGGGCAAGTGCAGGTCATTTGAATGCATGTTTGGATGGACAGAGCTCAGCTCCATCGATGATAAGCGAGAAGTCAACATAACGGTGAAAGGGGATTGAGTGGTGCGGAGAAAGTGGGTTTTCCCGGTGGGTGGTTGTGGGTAGTGGTGGGTGGTTTTTGGTGGGTGGGTGGTGTGTGCTGGTCACTGGGGACTTTGGCCATGTGCTTGCGAGTTTGTGGCTGCAGAGGCGCAGAGTCAACGCCAATGGTAAATATTTAGCTCTCGGCTGCACTTGAGATTAACTCGCACACAGATGCAGCCATCCAGGGGTACATATATATCCTGTGTGTGTGTGTGTGTGAAAAAAGGGACAAAGGCGGAGTGGAGCAAAATACAAACACACTCAAAAGTGAAAATGGAAAAAGTTTCAATGGTTTTATCATGTTTACTTTTATTTGTGTCACTGAGTGGTTGTATAAGCCCCGGCAGCCAGGGGTCAGGGGTCAGGCAGAGGATAAACAAACACAGACGGAGAAAGGCGAAAGGAGAAAGGAGAAAGCGGGCAAAAGTAGGGGGGTACACACACATATAAGAAGCGTATGTTCAACACACTCGAGGGAGATCACTGGCTGCCGTGAAGTGCCCGACAAGTGACAGCACTGGATTTCGATAAGGAGCCGGGACAATGGCAGTGTGTCCTTCGTCCTTGGTCCTTGGCCCTTGGACCACCCTCTGCCCTCCCCCCGCATCCTGAGCTGAGCCCTGCTGAGCCAGAGAAACAGCTCCGGGCATCGAACTGCAAAATTCCCTGAATCCCACCCGAGTTACACTCTTAATACGCCGCTGACCTACCCACCTACGACCTCTATCCCAACCCACATCCTGGCATCCTGGACAACCTCGGCTCAGGAATGACTCCTGAAGCTCACCTAATCAGGTGCTAAGCTGCAGGCAGCTCTGCCCCACCAGATGTTGCAGCTCCGACGATTCGTTAACCGATTTTACCGATTTCATTCCGCCATTCGGACATCGCTGGCCATAAAAAACTCGACGCCTCTGGAGCTTACCAATCTCAAGGTTGAGTGCGGATCGGGGACAGCTTATGGGAAGAAACAAAGCCATATCCGTACGGTTACCTTTTGACATGGTGGGCTTTTAAGCCTCATAACTGAAAAACTATACGAAACCCTGCTTATTTCCGCAATTCAATAAAAAACCATTTTAAGAACCAATAAACTGTAACTTGATGCTTATTAAGTATTATAAAAATAGAAAATAAAAGAGAAAATCGTATAGAATTATAAAACTTAATAGATGTTATATATAGGTATTTAAGTTGATATACATTTTTCATTAAAAATAAGTAGTAACTTGAAGCAATGGGTCAAAGCCAATAAATAAATTTTAAAAAAAGAATATATAATGCCTTGAAACTACGATAAATGGTACTTTACAATAGTCACTGAAGAAACAATTTGAACAATTTTGTTTGTATTCCATTTATAATACCCAATAAAACGTTTTTTAGAGCCTCCTAGGGCATGCGAAAGTAAACATTTTCTAAATCTACACCAAACTTAAGGTCATGGAAAAGAAGTCCCAAGGTATCTAAAAATATACCTGTGCTTAATATATATTTATTTATTATTTAACAAATATACCTAGGTTGAATATATTAGTTAGTATCTTAAAAACATGACTTTAAATATTTCTAGGTATGTATTTAATTTTATAATTTAAGATAACTATTAAAATATTAACCTTTTTGAAAATTAATCTTAAATCTTTTTGAAGTAATTAGTTGTCTGCTAAATTAATGCATTCCCCAAAG